CTTCCCACAAACAACCAAGATGTGGGTCAAGATGTTATGGCTGGTGGTGATCATGGCTGCCTTCCTATCATCTTCACAATCACGTGAAGAATCTCAACAAAACTTTGAAGCTCAAGCTCTTGGTAAGTTATACATGATGAATAAACACGTGAGTCCTCTCATGGATCATTATTAAGGACTGGTAATGGTCCAAGATACACCCAGACCTTGAATAATGTATTAACTACATATTGTAAGTTAGTGGTGAAGCAAAACTGTACCATGTCTTCCTGTTAGTTGTTGTCTTCATGTTAGTTGTTATCTTCATGTTAGCTCATGTTAGTAGCTGACTTCATGTTAGTTGTTAACTTCATATTAGTAATTAACTTCATGTTAGTTCGTGTTAGTTGTTGTCTTCATGTAACTTGTGAGACAAAACTGTACCTTGTCTTCATGTTGTGAGACAAAACTGTACCTTGTCTTCATGTTGTGAGACAGAACTGTATCTTGTCTTCATGTTGTGAAACAGAACTGTATCTTGGCTTCATGTTGTGAGACAGAACTGTATCTTGTCTCCTCCTTCCTTCCTTAGCCTGATTACCTGGTCCTTGGCTATTGTTTTCCTTTTGATGTGGCTGTACAACAGCTTTGGGTTAGATTTGGTTTTTGCTGTTACGTCATTTTCATATTGTCACTGGGCCTCCTTTCTTACCTGTGCATGTTCATTTCTGGCTCTGCGACTGTTCTCCTTATTCTGTACTTCTTCCACTCCCTAGCACACTTGGTTTTGGCCTCCCTGCACCTTTGGGTGAACCATGAGCTCATCCTGGCTTTCTCATTATTCCTGTTACCCTTGAGTACAAACCTCTCCTCAGCTTCCTTACATATTGTTGTCACATATTACATCATCTCGTTTACTGACTTCCCTGCCAGTTCTCTGTCCCACTGAACCCCTTTCAGAAAGTTCTTCATTCCCACATAGTCCCCTTTCTTGTAGACTGGCTTTTTTCGTCTGGCTCTTCCTGCTTTCCCCTCCACCTGTAACTCTACTGTGTATTCGAATCTTAAAACCACATGATCGCTTGCCCCAAGGGGTCTTTCATATGTGATGTCCTCAATATCTGCACTGCTCAAGGTGAATACTAGGTCCAGTCTCGCTGGTTCATCCTCTCCTCTCTCTCTCTCTGGTAGTGTCCCTTACATGTTGGTACATGAAGTTTTCCAGTATCACCTCCATCTTCTTAGCCCTCCACGTTTCTTGGCCCCCATGTGGCTCCAAGTTCTCCCAGTCGATTTCCTTGTGGTTAAAGTCACTCATGATCAGTAGCTTTGCCCTGCTCGCATGAGCCCTTCTGGCCACTTCAGCCAGTGTGTCAACCATCGCTCTATTACTCTCATCATACTCTCTTGCCTTGGCCTCCTGCTCTGCGGTGGGTTATACATCACTGCAATTACCACCTTGGGACCTCCACACAGAAGCGTTCCTACTATGTAATCTCTTGCTTCTCCTCTGTCTCCTCTCTCTAGCTCATCAAAATCCCATCGTTTTTTGACCAGCAGTGCCACTCCTCCACCCCCTCTGTTCCTTCTGTCTTTCCTCAGGATGTGATATCCCATTGGAAAGATGGCATCTGTTATCATACCTGGGGACTTTTTCTGTGAGACTATGTTTTCCCGGGTGAGGGCCTCTTTAAAATTTTTTCGGCCACTCCCTCCCAATTATTTTTTTATTCCATCAGTGTTAGTGTCCCAAATACATTCTTTTTCCCCCCAAACACAGTTTTTTGGGGGGTCTGTAAAGGGGGGGGAACCGGCAGTTTTTAACTTAAGTTCTTTAGCTGAGGGTTAAAGTGGGCTGGGGGTTGTGAATCTTTTGTGTTGGGATGCATTTGGTTTTTTTTGGGTTTTCTGGGGAGGGGTTTTTTTGTGTGCTTGTCTTGCTGCTTTTGCCCTGCTCGGGGATGTCCTCTGCGGATTTTTTTCCCTTCTCCCCCCCTTTAGCTCCTTTCGTTTTTTTCGGCGCCCTCCCCTTTTTGCTGTTGTTCGTTTGTTTCGGTCCCCCAGTCTGGGAACCCCTTTCTTGTATTCTGCCAATTTCCTTCAACCGGGGTTTTCCCTCTTGGGGATCCTGTTCCCACAGTTTTTCTGTCATAAAAAACCAGTTTGTTTCCATCGCTTTCTCCCCTTCAGGGTACCCCTCTTTTCCTTAAAAATTTTACAATCTCAACAGGTCCTCTTCACTATTTCTGTGATTTTTTCAATTCCTTTTTTTCCCGGGTTTTTTCCCTCTTTCAGGGGGGGGTATTGCCCCTTGCTCTCCTGAAACCCATGAATAAACCTGACTTCACCCTCTCCCCCTCATTTTTGGTAGCCCCTTGGTGGGGATGTTGTGCCAATGCAAATTTAACCCTTTACCCTCTCCACCTGCACCCCCTACTCTCCCCCTTCACTCCCCTTTGGGCCCCGCTTGGGAGGGGGTGAATGGCCTTTAACGTTGTTATAAACCCTTTTTTTCCCGTTGGGCCTCCCAGCTTCATTTGCTGTTTTCTTCTCTGGGCCCCAATTTCCCCTCGCTTTAGCCTGTTTACCTATTCTTCAAGGGCCCTTATTTTGGGCCACTGCAGTTTCGATTTTGTTTTACTCCCCCAATTTTTCTGGTGTGTGTTGGTGTGTGTGGTTGTGTGTGTGTGTGTGGGGTGTGTGTGTGTGTGGGTGTGTGTGTGTTTTGTTGTGTGTTGTGTGTGTGTGTGTGTTGGGGGTACTCACCTAATTGTTTTCAAACCCAATTGTGGTTTTTCAGGGTCGAGACTCGGCTCCGGCCCCGGGCCCCCACGATCGCACTGGGGCCTCTCTCCTCTGCTTTTTCCCGATTTTGTCATTCCTCTTTTTAAAAATATGTATGGTTTTTCCCGCCTCCACTACTTCACTTGCAGGCATTCCAATTCCTGACGACCTATGGGCTGAAGAAATTTCTTCCTAAAGTCCCTGTGATCGTCTGAACTTTTAGCTTTCCCTTTTTGACCCCTTGTCCCCGGTCCCCCTTTTTGGAAAAATCCTTTTCTCGGGCCCCTTTGTCTATTCCCCCCAGTTCTTGTAGTGTTTCTTTTCCCCCTTGACCCTTCTGTCCCCCGTGTCCTTTATCCCCCTTTCCCTTAAAACCTTTTCCCCGTACGGGCATTTCCCCTTTGGGTTGGGACTAGCCTTGGGGTGCCAAAAACCCTTTTTTTCTTTTTTCTAATTCTTGACGTGCTTGACCCGGTTTGGGTTCCGATGGGGGGCATCCCAGTATGGGCCTAAAAATACACAGTTTAAAGTGTCCCGGGAAAGATTCTTATTAAGGATCGGGGAAAGGGTATTTTCCGGGTTTTTCCAGGCGCCCGTAGCTGCAGCGGGGTTTTTTGGTTGATGTGTGCCCCGGTTTATGTGGGCGGTGTTAGGGGCACCCCAAGGGCTTCTCCCGAGTGGATCTGTAGTCTTTTTCCACGCCAACTCCCGTCTGCGGTCCTTTTTTGCCCTTCCCCAACCCTTTATGATTTGCATTTGCTGGATTGAATTCGAGAAACCAGTTACTGGGACCACATGTCCCCGCCTGTCCAGGTCTCTTTGCAGTCCTGCCTCATCCTCATCCCATTTAATTTTTTCTCATTCAACTTTAAGTATTTTGGAACAGGGACACTTCAGGCCTATTCCTTCCAACATGTCGTTCACATATATCAAAAATAGCAGGGTCCTAGAACTGACCCCCGTGGGACCCCCCGTAACAGGCGCCCCCCTGTGATCCTCTTCCGTACCCCCATCGTTTCTGCCCCCCGCAGGTAAACCCCCTTTTCCAAATTTCATGCCCCCCCCTTTTAAATGCCCTGATCCCCAGCTTTTGGGACTAATCTCTTGTGGGGAACTGTTTTCAAAGGGCCCTTTCCCGCATTAGGAAAACGCAATCTACCCACCCCTCTCTCTCGTGTCTTACTTCTGGTACCTTGTCATAAAAATCCAGGAGGGTTTTTGGGTACAAGATTTGCCTTCCATGAACCCATGCTGGTTTTCAGTTAAAATCTTGTTCCTTTCCAGGTTCGACCACTCTCCTCCTGATAATCTTCTCCATGACTTTGCACACAATACATGTCAGAGACACAGGTCTGTAGTTTAGTGCCTCGTTTCTGTTTCCTTTCTTAAATATGGGGACTACATTAGCTGTCTTCCATTTCTCAGGTAGTTGCCCAGTTTCAAGGGATGTGTTGAAGATTGTGGTTAGAGGCACACACAGCATCTCTGCTCCTTCTCTAAGGACCCATGGGGAGATGTTATCTGGTCCCATCGCCTTTGAGGTGTCAAGGTCACTTAAGAGCTTCTTCACCCCCTCCTCAGTTGTTCGTATGTCATCCAACACTTGTTGGTATATTCCCTCTTGATGTTCCATCTGTGCTGTCTTCCCACAGCCCTTCCTGTCTCTACTGTAAAAAACTTCCTTAAATCTCCTGTTCAGCTCCTCACATACCTCCTGATCATTTCTTGTGAGTTCTCCACCTTCTGTCCTTAATCTGATCACCTGGTCTTTGACTGTTGTCTTCCTCCTGATGTGGCTATACAACAGTTTCGGGTCAGTCTTGATTCTCGATGCATGTCATTTTATACTGTCGCTGGGCCCTCCTCCTTACCTGTGGCGTACTCATTCCTGGCTCTGCGACTGATCTCCCTATTTTCGTGTGTTCTCTGCCTTCTGTACATTTTCCATTCTCTATTGCACTTTGTTTTTGCCTCCTTACAAACCCTCGGGTAAACCAGGGGCTTGTTCTGGTCTTCCCGTTGTTACTGTTGCCCTTGGGAATAAACCTTTCCACTGCCTCCTTGCATTTTGTTGTTACATATTCCATCATTTCATTTACTGGCTTTCCTGCCAGTTCTCTGTCCCATGGACCTCCCGTGTGTGTGTTTGTGTGTGTGTGTGTGTGTTTGTGTGTGTGTGTGTGTGTGTGTTTGTGTGTGTGTGTTTATTTGTGTGTGTGTGTGTGTTTGTGTGTGTGTGTGTTTGTGTGTGTGTGTGTGTGTGTGTGTTTGTGTGTGTGTGTGTGTGTGTGTGTGTGTGTGTGTGTGTGGTGTGTGGTACTCACCTATTTGTACTCACCTATTTGTGGTTGCAGGGGTC